CCCTAAACCCTAAAACCTTGAAGCCCTTAACCTTCAAGCCCAAACCCTTAGCCCTCAACCCTGAAGCCTAAACCTTAAGCCCTGCACCCTAAACCCTGAACCCCAAACCTTAAGCCCTAGATATCCCTAAGCCCTAAACCCTTATCCTAAACCCTAAACTTGAGATTAACTGTAGGTATGCATTTCACTCATACAACCCCAATACAACACCTATAGAACCCCTATATAATCCCTATCATACAGTGGTTTCCGTTGTCTTTTCCGATATCCCCATATAACCCCAATATCTTAGTAACCCTAAACCCTAAACCTTAAACCCTAAACCCAAATGACAACTCTCCGACAGCATTTGCTGAGGTCGCGTCACAGTTGTGCGCCTTGAAGCCGCTCGGGCCTTTTTGTAATCCTTCTTCTTCTGGTAGGCCTTCACCTGTTTAGGCTTTAGGGTTTAGGGTTTGAGGTTTAAGGTTTAGGGTTTAGGGGCTGAAACCTTAAACCCTAGAGTTTGGGGCTGAAAGTCTTGCAGCGCTCCCTACATAAACTCCATGGAACTCCATTAACCTTAAAGCCCTGAACCCTTAACCCTTACACTAAACAAGGGCTTGAGAAACTAGCATTTCAGATTTTGTCTAGAATTGAATCTATACTATTTTGTATACATGCTTTTGGGTCTAAGATTTGGGGCTCGGCTTGGGATTGTTTGGGGGTTAAGGTCTAGGATTCAGAGTTCAGGCTTAGAATCTGGGGTGAAGAGCTTGGGGGTTAGCCCTGAACCCTCAACCCTCAACCCTACACCCCCTAAACCCTAAGTCCTAAACCCTAAACCTTAGAAACTAAATCCTAAACCCTACACCCTCAAACACACAGGATTACCCTTAAGCCCTGGCCCACGAGGGGATGCCTGCGTGGACTGGTAGATGCTAACGCCGCCCAGGATCCTGGCAGTTGCTCAGAAGCTACGTTTTGGGTTTAGGGTTTAAGGTTTAAAGTTTGGGGTTTAGGGTTTAAGGCTCAAAGTTCGGGGTTTAGGGTTTAAGGTCAAATGTGTGGAGTTTAGGGTTTAGGGTTTAGGGCTTGGGACTTGGGGTTTAGGGCTTAGGGGTACTGTTCATGGAGGAAGTCCTGGATGGTCCTGAGTTCAATGTAGTACCATAGGTTCGAAATCTGCTTTTGTAGGGCCATGCAGGATTTTGTCCATCAACTGTATTCATACTGCTCATATGAAACCTCCTGCATGACCTTGGCAGACTATGACCCTATTATTCCCAAAGTTTAGGGTATTAAGGGTCGAGCCTAAACCCAAAGCCCCGAACCCAAAACCTACTCAACCAGCATAAGGGTAATTGTCCTCGCATAATTCCCTTGACCCTCCAAGACTTTGCGACCACCCTCCCGATCTAATCTGGCAGAATGACGGGCAAAAGAAGGTGGAGAGGATGGCCCAGGGCATGTAGTCCTGCGGTAGATGGACGACATCTTGCACCACCTACTACCCCAAAGATACTCCCATTCCTAGCATACATGATCCCCCGAAACACTGCAATTATTAGGCTACATGAGCCACAGTCTACACTCCTAGTATCCCCCTTAACAACCCCTTTTGGTAGTCCCCTACAAAAACCCTTATACAACCCCCTTTGAGGAGTTTAGATAAGGGCTCACATAAGGTGGTGCAAGATTTTTTCTATCCACAAACGCAAGCATTCAGCTGCGCGACGCAGGGGGCACGTAGCTGCCATCGTGCAAGCATTCAGCCAGAGGGAAACTACCAGACCAGACAACCGGTTCATGCCGAGGTGGGCATGGGAAGTGGAGCCTAGCATAGGGGCTGACGTGGCTAAGGTTTAGGGTTGAGGGCTTAGGATTGGGGATTTAGGGTTTTGGGTCAAGGGTTTAGGATTTAGGGTTTGGGCTTAAGGGCTTAGGATTTAGGATTTAGAATTTGGGGTTTAGGGTTGAGGGGTACCACAAATATTCAGACCCCCACTCCCAACTAAGCAAGAGTGAGACCCACAAACTGCCGCACCTTCACATCATCCTTCTCCACCGCCCTGACAGGAATTGGTTAAGGATATGGATGCGCGAAGGCAGGAGGTGTGTGCGTACCAGAGTCTCCAAGTCCTGCGTTCAAGAGGGGTCAAACTTGGATGCACTTAAGGACCCTAGGTAGATTTAGGCTCTTCGTTTTCAATAGCGCCTCTTATCCCGCAACAGGTCGGAAAAGGTAAGTTGGCAGGCACTGGGATCTAAGGCTTTATGAAGCTTGTCTGGGAATCCTCACAGAGGACCCGTTACTTACCTCAAACCCGAAGCATGACAGTGACTCTAAACTTGAACTCTAAATCCTCAAACCCCAAACCCCTAAACCCAAAACCCTCAACCCCAAACCCTAAAATACGTAGCTTTTCTGGACTGGCCTGCTCTTCTCATCCTCTTCCGCAACGCAGTTGACCAGCTTGTGCCTCCGTTCTGGGTTTTGTGTGCAGGATACAAGGGTTTAGGGTTTAGGGTTCTAAAAGAAGTCATAGGGTTCAGGGCTCAGGGATTAGGGGTTAGGGTTTTAAGCTTAGAGATTAGGCTTCAGGGCAGCGGCCACAGCAGCTCGCTTCATAATTTGACCAAAACGCCACCTACCTGCAAACAAACCCATGATTCTCCTGGAACCCTAAACCCCTAAACCCTACACCCTAAATACCCTAAACCCTAAACTGCAGTTTCCATCTTCTGTTCCATTCCCCTGCATCACCCTGAACCCTTTACGTCAACAGAAACGGCAGACCATAAGCAAGAAGATTTTTAGGCCACAACGTGCCGCAGGCAGTGCCATGATGTGCGGAGGTTTAGGGTTTAGGGTTTAGGGCTTAGGGTTAGGGGCTTAGGGTTTAGGGTTGAGGGCTTAGGGTTTAGGTCTTCTGGTTTAGGGTTGAGGGTTGAGGGTTTAGGGTGTAGGGCTTAGGGTTTCGGGTTAAAGGTTTATGGTTGCCAAGGAGCCCCTGCAACTCCAGCATGCGATCCGAGTGCAGGCCTACAAAGAGAGGCAGATGTCTAATTGTGAAACTGGTATAATAGTTAGTTGCAACTACTTCATACGTGTGTATTGGTAGATATACATCTGTAAATATACAGAGATATTAGGAATATTTTTATGCAATATGTACATAACACCTGCGCGCGGCATACATGCTTTTGCATATATATATATATAGAGAGAGAGAGACAGATAGACACATATATATATATATAGATATGTACTACATATATGTATATACATAGAGAGAGAAACGGATTTTTATGTGTATGTGTGTGTGTGTGTTTGATTATTTTTCTTAGTGTATATATATAAATACGCACATATACGCACACATGTTTATGCATGTTGAGTGGACAATTTCACTGCAATCAACGGTCGTATCCTGTCCTAGCACTTCGGCCAGGAGCGATGCAAACGCAAGGAAGATGCTGAACCATCCATTGATCACGCCAAGCCTGCTGCGAGAAATCTGCAAGGGTTTACTGGGACGGCCGCGAGGCTTTTTGAGTGGTTGATCATGGGGATCGAGGGGTTACCCTAGGAGCTATAAGTATAGTCCCCTTTAAGTAGATAGAATAAAGCTTTGGGTATATTACAATAATATCCCCATATACCCCACATTCTATCTACTTAACGGGGACTATATACTTACCAACTCTCCATCGCCCTCCCTGTCTCTGGGGAAACCTGACATCTAGGCTCAAGTCTGCCCAAAACAGCACACAAAGCCAACACCAAAGCAAAGCGCACTTGCCACAGTAGCCGAAGTTGGCGAAGAGACCCTGGAAGAAAAGCCAGACAGCATACCTCGGTCTGTTCAGCAGTCAGAGCATCTGCGGGAAACAGGGGGAAACACAAGCAAGCCCACATGTAACACCATATCATTGTTACCACTATTATTACAATTATTATTACTACTATTCTTACCATTCTTATTACTACTATTACTTTCATCAGTATGACTACTATTAATACCATCACTATTCATCATTAGTAAAGGACTAGGGTTAAGGAGAGTTCCAGGTAGCTAATTATCACTCGTGTACCCTTGTGGAAGGCCTTTATAGACCTCATGTAGCCCCATTACCCTTAAATGCTCTAAACCCTAAACCCTTTGTAGAAGCCGTATATAGACCAGACCTCATAGCCCCATTACCCTTAAACGAGGCTATCTAAATGAGCCTTATATGGTTGGTACACGCGTAGTAACTAACCATCTGGAGGAGTCCCAGGGTTTAAGGTTTAGGGTTTGGGGAGGGGATTCATTGCACACTGCTGGTCTGAGGAGATCGCTGGACGAAATTCTTCGGAAAGCCACCGACCTCCACCGGATCCAGCAAAGACAGCTGGTTAGTAGAGTTTAGGGTCTAAGGTTTAGGGGTAAGTAGAGAATAGAGGAACATGATCCCTATATGAGCTATAGTCTAAACTTCTAATATCCCCTTTGATAAGCGCGAACATACTCCACTATATAATCAGCTCTAAACCCACTGACAATCTTGATCCTGCGGAGTTCGGAATGGAGAGGGCTACCCCGAAATGAATAAAGGAATCTATGGAGAAAGTATCGGGATCCATCCCCCCTCATTCCTAGCCCTAAACCCTACATAGCCGACTATAGGGATCCATTCCCATAGCGTGCAGCTCAGCACAGCCTGGAGCAGCATAGGTCGATACATCAAGCTCCCAAAAATGCCCATGATCAAAGGCCTCTGCTGGGTCTTGGAGATTTGGGGGTTTTCAGGGTTTAGGGTTTCGGGTTGAGGGTTCAGGGTTTAGGGTTTAATGTATTTCGGGTTTGGGGTTTGAGGTTTAGGACATTTTGAGTTTGGGGCTAAGGCTTTAGCATCTTAGGTACCCTCAAAAATCATGAAGGTGTCTCCAACTTGGATGATCTTGGGGACGAGGGATGGCAGTAATTCATAGAGCAGTTCCCAGGTTTAGGGTTTAAACCCTATACCCTTAAACCCTTAAACCCAAAATCCCTGAATCCTTAAACCCTAAACCCTTAAACCCAAAATCCCTGAATCCTTAAACCCAAAATCCCTGAATCCTTAAACCCTAAACCCTTAAACCCACAAATCCTAAACCCTTTCACTCCAAAATGCCCCCACTCGCTCCCAAATATATCAGGAGCCACTCCATGAATAACAGGGTTGAAGGTTTTAAGGCTGTTTAAGGTTTAAGGGTTTTTTGTGGTGTAGGATTTAGGGTGCAGGGGTCTAGGGTTGAGGATTTTAGGGTCTAGGGTTTTTAGGTTTGGGGCTTGGAGTTTAGGGATTGGGGCTTGGGGCAAATCACAAGGGTAACGCTGGCACAGAATCAGAGGGATTTGGTCCACCAACAAAGGACCCTAAACTTTTAGGCTTCTTTCCGAATCCCCCAACCTTAGACCTCATACCCTAATCCGATAAACCGAATGTCTGAGCCCTAAACCACGAGGAAGACATCCAGGGACACACTTCCTAAACGGTAGACCCTAAACCCTTAACCTGTAAGCTCCTACACCCTGCTCCCAAAACCCTACAGAGACCGTACATAATCCCTATAGAACCCGTTTACCCCCTTTAAAGGTACCCAGATACCCTTAACCCCAATCCCGAAACACTAAACCCCAAACCCTAAGCCCTAAACCCAAAACCCCAAACCCCCAACCCTAAACCCCGAACCCTAAGCCCTAAACCCAAAACGGTGCCCGCTTGGCCGCCAGCACATCTGAAGGGAGCTGAGGTAGGCCTGGTCAACGCAACAGGTTTGGTTTGGGGGGTTTTGGAGTTTTGGGGTTTGCGGTTTAGGGTTTGGGGTTTGGGGTTTAGGGTTTATGGTGCAAGGTTCAAGGTTCAGGCTCTAGGTTTCCGAGTTTAACGTGCAGGGTTTAGTCTCTAGGGTTGGGGGTTTAGGGGTTGTGGATTGTGGTTGGGAGCATAGGGAAAGTTGCTCACACTACAAAAAAAACTGACAAGCGTAACTACGTCCCATTCGTGTAATTCATGCATTGTAGTACCATCGTCGTGAGTGAGGGAAAAGATTATGAAGGTTTCTCAGACAGGGGCGACTTCTGTCGCACGCCGGAGGAAGAGCATCTCAAGCATTCCATCCTATGCAATTCGTAAACCCTAAAACCCCTAAACCCTAAATAGTAGTTTCCATTTTCTTTTCCATTATCCCCTATATAATCCTATATAACCCTATAAACCCTATATTAACCCTATATGAACCTTAAACCCTAGGGCAAAATGTAGGCTTGAGATTCTGCCACGCTGATGTGCCATGAATGGGCACCCTACCGCAAAGTTCCGCAGGCAGTGCCATGATGTGCAGAGGTTTAGGGTTTTGGGTTTAGGGTTTAGGTTGAGGGTTGAGGGTTTAGGGTTCGGGGTTGCGAGTTTAGGGTGAGGGTTGAGGGTCTAGGGGGTCTGAGGAGCGTACCAAAATTTGACGCCCACTCTGAATTGCAGTCCACCCACTTTGATGTTGCTGTGTCTGTCCAGCCTGAACAAAGTCTGCAACAAAACTGCCAAGGGTCTGCATTCCGAACATGAGCAGGCTATTTACTGGGTTGGTGTTCAGGAAGTTCAATCAAGTTACCACAATATGGGTACATGGCAGAATATGGTTTCCTTATTTTGGAAATCTACATGAAGATTTCCCAAACAGCAACCCAGTTTGGCAGGCGAGAGCCTGAGGCGCCGACCACATTCGGACCACTTCAAGGCCAAAGTAGGATGATGATACCAGGACTCAGCACATTGTCTTGCTTCATGCCGCCAAACAACACGTCCAGCATAAACGGTAGTTTCCTTAAATAAGGGGACCCCAATACAGACTCCAAAATACTGGAATCTTTTTAATGAAGCCCCCACGAAAGTACCTCTCATGTTGAAGAACCCTATTCCCTAAACTCTTAAACCCTATATCCCCCTGTATAACCCCTAGAAAACTCCTATATGACCGCCATCTATATAACCCCTGCATCAACTATATATCCCTGTATCCTCTTAAAATAGGAAGCCCCCGAACGTAAGGGCAGGGCATATGTAACGCCAATGATGGTAGTGAAAAGCGACGACGCTAAGCCGAGAAGGCCCAGCACATTGCCAAGCTCCTGCCGGTCTGGGTATGGTGTTTAGGTTTTTTTGAATACGACCTTTTCTCCTCGGGTTCATCCAGCGTTTAGGCTCTAGGGTTTAAGGTGTAAGGTCTAGGGTTTAGGGTTTAGGATTCAGGGTTCGGAGTTTCGGGGGGGATTCTTGTTGGGAACATCGAACAAAGGAAGGATGTGTTTCTTTGGGGTGTGCAGGGCTGAGGTCATTTCAGCTTCTTCCGTGGTGAACTCCAACGCCATACTGTGCTGCTGTTAGGGAACTCAGATTTCTTTGCCATAACATGGACATATTGTAAATGCTGGGGGTTCCTTACTACATTCCAGTAACCCCAAACCCTAAACCCTAAACCCTAAACCCAGCAACCAAAATGCTGCCCAGGCACCGAAAACCTGCAATAACTGACCATCTCCTGGGCTTTTGAACCTGCCACGCGGGGGAAAAACAGTAAAAGGCGCTGAGAGGCTGGATTGCAACAATACAGGGATTATACATCGGTTATGCAAAAGAATTATGTAGGGGTTGGGCATAAATAAGTTCATGTAAAGGGGATATATAGGGGTTAGATAGAAACTCCCAGATAAAAATCTTAGTTCCGTCCTGTATCAACTCTCTGCGGGCCGAATGAAATGGATTCAACTGGGAAGCGTGTCCCTTTTGGGCAACCAGCTGCGAAGCACAACAGATGATAGGGTTTGGGGTTCTAAAAGATACAAGAAATACGTAGCATGCGGGGACACACGGCCAAACAAGTGTCATCGCTGCGACCAAGCAGTGTTGTCAAAAACCTTGCAGTTATGTTTACTGCACGTCTGCACCCAATCCATTACATGGATTGGGCAACGTTCAAAACAACGTCTTCCTGTCCAGCAAGTGTAGGCCTCGGATCAT